CCACATGAAATCCAGTCCACGTTTTTCCTGCAACCTTAATAGCAGCATGCTAGCAAGTTTACACACCAGTCTCGTCATTAGGCCTATTTTACTGGATCTGTATTCGACCACCTCCACCTAAACTTGCTGTTTCAGCAACATTTAATTTAAAAACTGTACTTTTGAGGTTAAACAAATGTTCATAATTAATTTAAATAAATTACAAGTTAAAAGGGGCATGGACATTTCTCTTTTTTGTTTGGAGAAATATCGAACCGTGAGACTAAAGTATCGAACCGAACCGTGAATTTTCTGTATGGTTGCAGCCCTATTAATAATATATTTTTTCATGTTTTGCTAGTGTTGAGCTTTTTTAGCTTCAACCACTCAGTTTTAACTTCTTCAACACGTTTTGAATGCTCTCTCTCTAATTGTTTTGTTTTTTAGTGGGACTGGTTCTGTCCTGGGCAGACTGGGAGGATTGTCAAATGGGAATTAGCAGCATCACTAAAAATGACTGGTTTCCTTTAAGTTTGTGAGTGGAAAGAAGCAGATCTTAGTTTTACCTCTTTCCCTTTGGTATCTCCATTCTCAATCCACTCCACGGTCACACTCTCATTGTCTTCATGCAGCGATGTGACCATGGCCTGGTGTATTCTTCCTGCAATGGAAACACAAAGTCATGCTCAGTGAGAACAATGCCAACAACACAGATTCTCCTGCAGACTTCAGTTAAAATCTGACATGATCACAATTTTCATAGCCTGCTAAAAACCAGAACCCACTTTGCTTCATAAGAGGGTCTGCACTCTCAGCTAAAGAGAAGTGATTCTAGCTGGAGGCGTGGCCTCTGCTGAAGTTTAAAATGATTGGATCGGTTGACCACGACGTATGTAGCCAGCTCCACTGTGAAGGAGGCTAAGCTAAGAAGCTAACCAGAAATCGTGTGTGCTGTAAACAACCCTACAGAGAGGAGAGAAGTAGGGCAGACCGGGGACGGTAGCAACAAGGGACGGTTGCAACACATCATTTTTCTCCAAACAGAAACAGAGTGATGACCCTCACACTGTACATGCTCAGTTAGATGTCCCACCTTGGAAAGAAAAAGTCAACAGATTCAAAAACTGATCCAGGATTTATTTAAAAAATCAGTTTTTGAGGAACAAAGTATTTTTTTACCCAGTTTTATTTTTGTTAAACTGTTGTCACTGTTTTTGTGATCCAGCTCAAACTTCTCTGGTTTAAACAAGTGATCTGTTGACTTTTAACTAATCTAGTTAACATGTATCCAGATGAGCTTATTT